AAAAATCTGAAGAAGAAGCTACGGACCGAATTGGTCACCGATTGCAATGAAACTTTTTTTGTGATACAAGAAAAATATTAGACCCATGTCCGATGGTTCTTGACTGTGCCCACCGAGAAAAAAATTGTAGCATTTTTTATATTATAGTTTTTCATCTTAGAAGCGCATGAGATTTCTAAATTCTAATATATCAATCGATTTTTTTTTTATGATTAAAATAAGAAAAACGCATTGTAAATTGTATTAAACGAATTCAAATGTACAATAAATTACAAAAATAAAAAATGCTTCCAGTAAATTAGATTAGTAGATTCAAGTCATAAAAAATAGATTCAGATTTGTTTCGTTATCAGCGTCCTTAAAAACGAATTTGTTTTGAAATCAAAGAATATAAATTTGTAGACTTGATTTTATGAGAGAATTCTTTTTTCATGCCGTTTACTGAACCATTCTTAACTCCTCAGGATTTTCTTCGATTTCAACGTTACTGCAGCGTTGGAAACCTGAATTGTTCTTTCAAACCATGCCTTTTAACTTTTATAATTTATATCGTTTTGAGGAATAAATAAAGAACTCCTCAAAAGTTTTCGTTTTACATCTTAACCTCGCGTGTTTTAAGAGCCCTGAATTCCTGATCATTTTCGTATGGGTAGGTTAAGTCAAGTTGAAGATAACACAGTTTTTGTTTGATTTCCAAAAACAAATCGAAGGTACCTCAGAAAAAAAGTTGAACAGAAATATATTATTTTCCGATTGCTAAGAAAAGTCGTACTTAATGGCTTTTCGAGGTTCGAAATACAAATCTCAACTTTGACTCTAATTAAAAAAGTATTTGAACCTCTTTCGGTCGGTGCAAATAGATTCAATATTGTACTTATACTATAGCTACATGCCAAATATAAATCTTTATTCTAAACTGGTAAGGTTGTCTTGATACATTGTCCCGATTTGGTCCAATAATAATAATAATGCCTGTATTATACATTAACTAAAGTTTAAGACCGACATCTTAAAAATTCCAAAGCTCATGTCTTCACTTAGCGAACCATATATTTTTACCTGCCAAACATTACTAAGTCATTCTAAGCTATGTTTAGTTATAATTTATTAGGTTGAATTTCCCTCCGGGACATCTGAAAAGAAGATGGCCTCGTGATCTCCTTATTCAGATATATTATTAGAGTACTACCAATGTATAGTTTCTCAACAAGCGTTTTCATGTGATTATATTCCTGTATACACATTTACTTGATGTATTTGTATTGTAATACAGTTGTAAATATTAAGAATTAAAAAAAAAAAAAAGATTGAATTTACAAATTCCATATTTGTCGCTTTTTCACCGGATGAAAATCATTAATGTACAAAGTTCACTGACTGGACTTTTTATGGGCCGGCTGTTTTTTTTTATTTCACGAATTATTGGCAGACTGAAAATTCTGCAAACTTATTTTTAAAACAATCCAAAAAAAAAAAACCTTTCAATTAAAATTACAACAAAATGTCTTTTTGAGTAAGTGTATAACAAAAATTATTAAATATTTTGAAGATTCTGTCATTTTTTTTATTCCTCTATACCGTCTCACAACTCTAATTAGCGGATGAAATGAGTAGCGGCTGTAGTGAAATAGTAAACTATAACATCCTACTCGTTGACCTCAATGTAACCCACGATTTCCACTCCAATGAGGAAACAAACAATTGCAGAAAATGATTCATTAATAAAATTTTCAAGAATATTTTTTTCAAGATTGTAAGAGACGAAATTTTAATGGGGATATTTTAAAATATTTGAACATTTTATTATTTTTAAAACGCTAGCCTATTTCTTATTTTATTTATAGAACGGAGTGGTAGCTTTCGGACTGAAGCTCCTCCTCCCCCCCAAAATGATAAAATATAACCATATTTTATGAAAAAAATATAACAATAGGACTTCTAATTACAATTAATAGGACTTCAAGAACTTCTTAAGCACCGTTTCATATAGATAGTCAGTTTCTTTCTTTACTTCCAAAGTAATTAATGTAATACGTATATGTGTAGTTTTCGGGGTGAAGCCCCCCCCCAAGATTAAATCATGGATCGCTAGTACGTACAGATATTAAATTTTGTTATAGTTGTCCTGAGCAAATAATTCGAATAGTATATTTAGTGCATTATAAAAGGAAACATTATTTTATTTTTTTTTATCCTTGATCAATTGCAGGTAATAAACGTGTATAAGATACAAATAGAATATCTTTGCTAAAAATGTTCCGATTTTTATAACTTTTTCTTCCTTTTGTTTGGGTACTTTTTGGTAACTTTTCAAACACTGTATACTATATAGCATCCGTTAATTCTATACTTTATGAGTTATGCGCAAATTAAATTTCCTGTTCTTGATAACTTTTTTTATGATTTTTTGGGGTATGTGTTTATTTCTCCAAACTTAAACGGGAAGACAATCAAGAGAAATAAGATATTATATTATGTTATAACACATATTATAAAATTATTACTCCTTAATGAATGGCGTTCCTACCCTATCCTATCCTCCCTTAACCTCGCATGCATTGAACACTGCAGGAGTGCCCATTCCCCCCAAGATCGATGGTGCAAGACCTATTCCTCGCACTCCCAAGATATTTTATTGCCCACCTTTTATTAAAATCAGAGGAAGCGAAGATAGAATTAGGCAAAGCGTAGATCATATACAATTACACTTGCTGCGTTTTGTTGCATGTTTTCCCCTAGTCCCTTAGAATGGAACTTTCCATTCTGAAAATTCACAACCCAGCAGAAATGAGTCCCCTCAAAAATTCAAAAACCCACCAAAATATTCCCCCTTCGAAAATTTTTATGGAGCAACTTGCGCCACGAAATCTCCCTGGTCACCCCTGGAACACTGTTATAATTGAACATTAGTCTTCAACCCCCTCCAGTATTGCTTAAGTGCTGGCGCCTATGACTAAGAGCAATGATGTTTGAGTGTTAATGCCCCCAAAATTGGAAATAATTTCTTGCTGATGCGTGAAAATACACGATTTGATATCATATTCCTGTAGTGGTCAATAAAAAAATTAGACCTTTACCCGACAGAGCATGTTCGGGTACAATTTGGAAATCTTTCAAACTCTATGTACTAAAATACTAAACACTATAAATTGAATACTTTATGTGTTACGCTTAAATAACATTTCCTGTTTTTCATAACATTTTTCTGGGAAATGTGGTTATTTCTTCAAAATTAAAAGGGAAGATAACCATCAAAATGATAGTTCACTCAAAAAAAAAAAAAAATCATTGAGAAATAAGATATTATATTGGATTTATATCAAATTCCTGTCACTACAGTGTGTGGCCACTGCCGCTAAAATATACCTTAACCCGACAGAGCATATTTGGGTACTTACTTAAGCTCTATTTGTTGAAACTAGAATTCAATTTCTAGGGGCACATGAAAAGTTGAGGAAGGTTTTTATTGAAGAGTCGGGCAATATAGCGCAGGATTTAGTTAATAACACGTTTGAGCCATTGATTGTTGTAATTCATGTTAAAAGCAGTAGCTCGAGATACAAAGTTAGTTTTAATAGAAGTTCTAGTGTTTATGATCGCGAATTTTGCTTTTTTATTTTTTATTTAATTGTACATAACATAATATGCAACATTTTCCTTAAATAAATGCATTTTATAATATTGTTTGGTAGGATATGAATTATGTTTCTAATAGTAATAAAAAAATAAAAAAATTCTTGGACCTACTCTTTTTTTTTCCTAAAAAAAAGGAGCCATTTTCAGAAAGTAAACCTTAATTCGTACAATAAATATAAAATCATTCGGGGATAATTTCAAGATATTCGTAATGAGGAGAGGTTGAATTCTCATATGAAAGAATGTGACAAAGGCAAATTATGTCCTAATGACATTATTTTTATTTAACAAAGTTTCTTATTATAAAAATTGCGTAACGGACTGAAACGTTGAGTGGAAGATAAAACCAAGTTGGACTGAAGGATCAAATGTGTTTGTTTATTATTAAAGATGTATTTCCATTAATACTGGCTTATTTCAAAACATCTTGAATTACATCAAAGCCAGAAATTTCAGGTGAAGCGTCAATTTTATCCAGCGGTTTAATACACGCATACACAAATTGACCCGAACTTCGTTTTCTAACATTGAATCATCATAATATATCTCTACCACAATAAAATTCGGCCATTTTAATAAAATTTCCACTAAAAAATTATTTTTTTACGAAATGTGGTAATTTTTTTCTTCTTCGGAATGTTTTTTGAAAATTTGAGTTTTTGAAATTTTTAATTGTTTCAACTTACATGACGCTTAATTCAATGTGGCTGTAAAGTTGAAAATAAATTTTTATGAGGGCAGTCTTACGTTTCGAATCTCGTAATCGGCTTTATAACCTCAGCATGTCTGAAATTGTTATCGTTGATATTTAAATGAAGATTTTAGTACAAACATTTATTGTTTTTGAGCAGAACCATTGATCCACAAGGGGTTAGGGATCAACTAAGGTACTCTGTATAAATATAAAATATTATTTCAAAAAATTAAAGAAACAGTAAAATTGATTTTTCGACATGCGGCTCTTAAAATATAAATTCAAATTATACATGATACATTAATCAAAACAAGTAATAATCATAACAGTGGTTCATTATAGATTTTTTAAAATACTCTGAGTATTATGATTAAAATTTAAAAAAAAAACCATACAAATCAGATCGAAAGTATTAAAATATTAATGAATATTTTAAAAAAGACTTAACATCGATTTTTATCACTAATAAACCTCAAACCTTAAACTTAGATATCTATCTGATTATCGCAATTTGAAGTGAATTCTATTTCTGAATGCAAATCTTGCACTAAAACAATAGTAACCCGGGTGATGTCCATAAAATGTTGTGATTTTGATTAATTCGTTTGTTTAGAGAATCTTATATAGCCGTTCCGAAAATTGTTAAAAAAAATTAAAGCATTGTACTGACCACAGTCGATAAACTTGAAGCATGTTCCGAATGGAATGAGTGCTGCAGTAAAAAGGATCACAGGGTACCGCATCATCGAGAAGCTCATCGCAACTGGGCTCCCCTCCACTTCTCATTTCAGCAGGAAACTCTTATCAGTTTGACAAATTGCATGTAAATTTCTCTCTTTGCGTATAATTTTCATAGCTGCATGAATTCGAATGTATCTTGGTTATGTCTAATTTTAAACTTAAATAAATAGGTGGTTAATTCTTTTGTGAAGTAATTGGTCTCAAAATGATTTGAGGCTTGGTGACAAAAATAAACACTTCCTATCATTATTTTATGATAATAAATATAAAATATGGCAATCCACATCAATTATCAGTAATATATCTAACATACTAATTGTAATCTGCAACTATACAGTTTGAAAAAAAAATACCTCGATTCTAAGAATGAATGCGGTTACCGTTGATTATGGATTGTCTTCACAACAAACTGATAGCAGTTGAAAACGTTTTTTTACAAAAAGCATCGTCTAACATTATATTTAAATATTATATTTCAAGATCAAGATTTTAGACAAAATCCTATTTTGCAAAAACTTTTTAAAATTGTTTTGTTTGTCCTGAAACTTACCCTAATATTTTGTTTTAATTCCAAATATCTTCTTGATGGGTCTATTTTATTTATCATGGGGCTTACATATTCTTATTTTTTGGTCTAATAATTATAATTTTATTTATAATAGCATTGCAAAGTAATCTCTAAGTGACGTTTTAATTTAAATCAATTGTTGCAGGTCCTGATGACTGAAGAAAGCAAGAATACTCTCCGTCGGCTCCTCGACGAATCAGCTGAGAAGGAGATTAATGACGCCTTAACCTGGGCTCAGGTTTTTGAGAGGGAAATACCGAATAGCTGGGGCAGTATGAGTCCGTATACGATTGCTAGTCTTGTATACCTGTACAAAACGTCTTCTGAAGAACTTAACAGTGTCGGAAAAGCACTTTGTGAAACATTTATTGGCTTCGATGTAGAGGAAGCAAATTTGGTTTCTAATCGTTTTAGATTCCCTGTTAGTTTAATGTACGCTGTTGTTGAAGAATGGATGAGGACCAGTGACATCCCTATCGTTTTTAACGTCAAAGCGTTTTGCTTAGACTATGAGATTATGCATGCCGCCGCAGCTCGTGATGACTTGGATATGGTCCAGTGGTTGTTTGAGTATGACATCCCCATTGACATCAAAGATCGCTCAGGAAAGACGCCACTCCATATAGCTGCGGGTGCGGGTATGATGCGGATAGCTCGCTTCCTACTTGCTTCTGGAGCATCTACATTCTCTGCAGACAATGAAACTCATATTCCCCTTGAGGTTGCGCTGCAAACTTGTCAGTATGAAACAGCAGAATTGTTGAAGCCTGATATGTTTTGTAATTTAAGACGGATTGACGGGGAGACTCTCCTGATGGAACTAATTCGAAATGGCCTCGTGTCACAGACCAGATACTTGCTCCAGTATGCAAATTTTGAAGTATTGAATTATTCAGATCAGAATTTATTGCATGTATGTGCTGAAGCGGGACAGACACAAATTATGGGAATGTTGTTGAAAGAAAATATTTCTCCTAAAATACTCAATGCTAGAGATGCATTAAATCAAACCCCTCTTTACTTGGCTATTCGCCAAAACAACACCTTGCTAGTCGCAGAGCTGCTAGCAGCGGGAGCTGAGATCACTGTTGATGCAAGAAATTTGACTACTAACAATGAGATAACTAGTCTCCTTAGGGAATATAATCCTATTCGCCTCAATTTCAATCATCTTCGCATTTAATTTCTGTTTGTATCAGGCTATGACCTTCTAACAAATTTATGTACCTGTATTATGTACTGTAGAATTCATGTATCTTTTTTAACGGATATAGTGATTCAATTTTTCAGTAATAAACTCCTTATTTAGATTGTCAGAAAAATCTAGTCTTAAGCATTTGTCAAATTTTATGTTGAATATCTTGTCAATGCTGTATATAAATAGTATATATATAAATATTTTCAATATAAACACTTGAAGCACATTTAAATAATAATAATTACAACTAATAAAAATATGCCTTACAATTTTTAAATTTTATTTTTTTAATTATGACTAAAATATTTTCCCTAAAATTATACAGTGTACTAAAAAGTGCAAATAAAATCAAATTAACACAACACACGCTAAATGTATGTGCCATGTGTGTGTGGGTACCCAAATATAATTTTGAATGAAGTGTATTAAGTAAATTATATGTCACTCATAATGTAAAATAAAAATTACAAATGACTGTTTTTTTGAGTCTTTATATGAATGTAATATGTAAACAATTGCAATCAAATTTATGATGTTTAATTTTAAATTACATTAAAATAATTAAAAAATGTTCAACTACTGTTTTTTCTTTAAACCCTCGTTCTATATATTTTAGCTGGACTAGACCTAATTTATACCTAATTAGCATCATCCAATTATAAAAAAGTGACTTGGATAAATGGTAACTATTACTAGTCATCAAATAAATTTTGTTTGAATAGATAATAGTAGCAGATGGTAAAGAAGAAGATCTACAGTTCTAAGACAGGACCCTAAAAAACCTGAGATAGCTATTAAAAATAATTCTCAAATATTTAGACCATTATTGATTCAAAATATAATAAAAAACAAACTTAACAGTCTTCAACTAATTTAATATAACAAATCTAACATGTAAAAAAAAAACATATAAATCATTATATAATTAATTACATCATCTATCTGAATTTAGGACCAGGTGTTTCATTAATATCTTTACACAATTTCTTATTCAATGATTAAATCTTTAAAAATCTTTGATTTTATGAATACTATTGTATCAATTGTTAAATATAAATGTTTATTAAGACTTAAAAATATCATTATTTTTTTTAAATAGCTTATTTATTTTTGAAGGCTCGAAGGAACCAACACACTGAAATAAATTTAATTTAACATAATGCTCAGAAAGTTGAGAAAGAAAATGACTGATAGCAAAAAATAATAACCAATTCTATGACAGTAAAACCATGATCAGGTGTTCGAATTTAGAAGCAGAGCTAATTTGTTACGTTATTGTTGACTTTGGAATTTTTAGTAAAATATATCAATAACAATTACAAGCTATACAAGTTAATAGTGAAAAAAATAGAAAATATGTATAATTAGCTGAAATAGGTGATAGAGATAATTTAGTAGCTTTAAGCAGGAGATATTGGATACATGTTTTTTCGAAGAAAGAGAAGAGGCAGGATAAAATTTTATGGGAATAACATTTAAGTAAAGGCTTGGAATATCAGAAATAGTTTAAGGAGGTGATTAAAAATTATTACAATTACAATCGCCTCCTCTGCATTCAACGTCAACTGGTTAGTCTATAACCAGTCACAGATTCAATTCAGACCATTATGAAGTTTTTTTGTGGCTGGTAATAGATCTGAAGCCAGAAAGGTAAAATACATTTGTAAATCGTCAAAAAAGATATTGTATTGGGAGAGATGGATCAAGAAAAGAATGTTATTAATATAATTAACAAACAGTTAGAGATATAGAAGAATCCTGAGGTATATCACAGGAGTGGGGAAGTGTTTTTGATAAAGGTACACCTGGGATGACTACATACTGTGACTAATCAGAAAGGAAGGATTTGAGTTGAGGCAAGACTCTGTTAAAGAAAGTTTGGTAAGGAGGATGTTCTAGTCAACTGTGTCAAATGCTTTGGGAAAATTTAGAAGAATGAACAATAGTTAGTTTTTTTGTGTTCAATAGAATTTTAGAGGTCATTGGTCATTTTGAAGAGAGCAGATTGTGTTGAAAGCCAGATTGGAGAACCAGATTGTTCCGTGAACCTCTAGGAAGTTGAAAAGTAGATTTTTTACAGGGCGTTACAAAAATACACATTATAAATCTTCATTATCTTGCTAGGAAATGTATTCTAGTTCAAGTATCTAATAACAATCATTACACATTTCTTGGAATAAAAATAGATATTAATTTAAAGATATTTAGAAACTGGCAGTATTAAGAAATATTGATAATATTTCTAAGAAATTGAGATTATTCCTTTATGACACAGGTGGATCTACGGGAGGGAGGCTTTTGTTCTGAAGCCCCCTCCCCAAAAAAATGGTAAAATATAACCATATTTTACAAAAAAAAGTATTAAAAATTGTCGGTGACTAACGAAATGGATTCAGGCAGGGCAGGGAACTGACTGCATTTTTTTATTTTTCTTATTCATTACATTTATCAGAAGTCTTTTTATATTCACTCTGAGTTTAAATCCATATTGTTTTAATATTCTCTGAACCCTATGTGGTTTGACATGTTTCCTAATTGTTCTCATTAATTCCAGTGGTTATTTTTGTATACTGTGCCAAAAATCAGTATAAAATAAATATTCAAATTTTGCCAGGACAATAACCCTTAGCTCCAAGCTCTCCAAACAGAGGAATAGCTGCTATATAATTATCAAAATGAACATGGAAGTCCTCTTCTGATTCCAGATTTAAATCGTATCAAATATTTATGGATTTGTGTTGATCCACATGGATTCATAAATTAAAATATTACATCAGTAAAATAACTTAAAATTAAATTTATAGAAGAATGAGGAACATTACCCTCCCAATTGACTTCAAAGTTGACTCCATCAATGCCCAAATGACTTAAAATACAAAGAGCTTCATTCAAGATATTAATTTAAAACTTTTGATTAAAAAAAAAAAAAAAATATATATATATATATATATAAACAATTAGATCATATAAATTTGTAAAAAAGCTTTTGCTACATCAAAACTTTTATTATATATTTGAAATTTTATTTAAAATATATGTAATTATTCATAGGCCAATATTTTTGATGAAAATTAAAAAAAGAATTAATAAAATTGGTATTGAAATTATATTTAAATTTCTAAATAAAAAACACATGTAGTAAAGAATTTTTTTTATTGATTTTTTAATTTTCCACTAATGCATGTATGAAAACGTTTGCTGATCACTGTACATGTGACAAACTGTATGTACAGATGCTTGTATTCAGCTCAATTAATTTTGTAAGCTATATTCTT